TTCCCCGCCATAGCGCCTGTAGGCTGCGGTTGGCTGGTGGTGGTGGTGGTGGTGAGCCGTCCTGCCGGCAGTGGGGTTTTGGCAGCGGCATCCGAAGCTCAACAAAGGTCGTAGGGTTTGATTGCGAGTGTTAGGTGGTTCAGTCTGGATCTTTCCACTGTCAATCCTCTTGTTTGTCCGCCAGTCAATACCTTCTCTCTGCTGGTGCATGCTGCGTCTGAACTAGAGGTGCTAAAAACTCCACCGTGGCCGCTGAAATGCACTTCAATCTGAATTTTACCTTATAAATTACTTTTCTGGGGTTTGTTGGATTTTAGATTATATATATGTGTGTGCGTACATTCAGCTTTTGAAAAAGTAAATGCCCTGTTTGTTGGTAGCCGGGCCGCTCTGTGTGCTGCTCGGGGCTCCCCTGCCGGGAGCATCCCTGACCGCACCTTTGCAGCTCGTTACTGTCTCACACTCAGGTGATTCCTTCTAAAAGCCGAGAGCTTTGTTTTTTTATAATCGCTATAAATATTGCATATCTCTCAGTGGGAAATCAATTGTAAATCAAGTCTTAAGGCAGTGCTGAAAGGTGATCTCTCAGATGCGCCAACAGCCGCCTGACCTGGTGGGGCGGACTCGGTGACAGCAAATATCTCCGTTCCTTTCCAGGTGCCTCAGCGAACCACTTCCATATCCCCTGCTCTGGCGAGGAAGAACTCCCCAGGGAATGGCAGCGCCCTGGGGCCCCGGCTGGGCTCCCAGCCCATTCGGGCAAGGTACGGACACCGAGAGGGACGGGCAGGAGTGATCCCAGTGTGCTGCTGCCTGCGCTCCTCCTGGCATCGCCCGGCTGGGGAGCCCGAACATGGGCTGGGGTTTAGCCCTGCTTTTGCTCACTGGTAACAACATGAGATTTGCAGTGCTTCTCTTGTCGCTGGGATGAACTAGTTTTGCATTCATTAGTATTTTGTAACAACAGCAAAGGCCGTGAGGGCTTGGATCCCTTGGAGGTTTTGCTCCCTGGGCTGAATACGTTCCTGGGCATTGCAGGGGTTGGAGGTGGATGCTGCATCTGCTGCCGTGGGGTCAAACTGGAATTGGGCGCTCCCTTTAGTGGAATTAGGTTCTGGTTCTCCCAGTGTCACCTCTTGCATATGAGGGGATCCATATAAGCCAGTGGGGAGAGCTCAGTGATACATACCATACATTTCCTACCGTCAGAGCAGCTTTTCACAGATAATGACCGAGGAATGTGCCGGGGGACAGTCACTGATACAGCTTGGTGAGATCTTCCTTAGATGTAGATCAAGGATTAAATTCCCTTCGGCTTCCTAGGACTAGGGCCTTTAGCTTAGCCAGATCAAGCTCTCCGGCACAGGGGTGTGCAGGGTGCACTCATAGCACCCCGAGGAAGGATGCTGCACCACATCTGACATCTGCCATGCCAGAGCTATCCCTGGGCATGTTTAAAACAAGCAGGGAAGTTGACAGGCTCTGCTCGGAGCCGGATGGAAAAAACGTGGCTTAGTCATGCGGGAGCTTGTCTCTGGTTTGCAGAGTATCGTGGGCAGATATAGACCTCAGACAGGCAAATCTCAGGGTAAATATGTGTTCCACGTAGCCTTACGTGATGGAGCTCCTTGGTTTCTTCTTCCTGCCTTGTCCTTTTGGGGTGAGGTCAAAACGCAAGCACTGGGACGGTCGTAGCCATGTGCTGTCACCAGTTTTCAGCATACGCCTTTCCTTCCAGCTCAGTGCCCCAACCATGCATCAGCAAACCCACATACAGGTTTACAGCTTAGAGTAGCTGGCAGGGGAAGCAGAAAGAGGAGGAATCTTTTTTGTTGTTTTTTAGATTAGACAAAATCCATGCATATCATGGTTGGTTCCTCTTTATTGCTCAAGGCTGAAGCATTTTGAATTCTTGAAAATGTTGTTCTTTTAATTAGCTGTTGCTTGAAGGACAATTTAAAATGCCGAGGGTTATTGGACTGCATGGTGCTAGTAAGTGATAGTATTGAAAGTAAAAAAGATAATGGGAGTCTGTGGGATTCAAGTTGAAGGTTGCCCAGTGTTTCCTTCAGCCTCCCGGTCCCAGTCCTGGTCAGTACAGGTAAATACATTAGTATTTTTTTATTCAAATACATTTCATGAATTAATTTAGCTAAGGACATGTCAGCTGTGCAGCATGAGCTTCAGGCCTTCAGTTTGATGAAAACTGGAAATTATTAGGATGCTACCATGTCCATTAAACTAAGTATTCAGTGAAATAGTTTCACATTTCATTTCTCTCACAGTAATGTAGCATTTCTCCAATTTTCCCTTTTAACCACCTCTCCTATTGTTCTTGATTCCTCCCATGCATAAATGTAGATATTATTAAAATATGCTTTCTTTTATTTGTTACCCTATTGTAACAAATGAGGGCATATTTCCTTGCACAGAAAGTTACTGTCTTGCTCTCATCTTTTTAATACCCACCTGTGTCAATGCAAGATAACACTAGGCAGTGATTTTATATAATATCCATGCGAAGCAGCGTCCAAACGATTCTGCCAATGACCCCATTACGGCAATGGGCCTTTGCACGATTTGCACCGTTGTGGTCGTTCTCCGAGGGGCACAGCGTGCGCACTCCGCACACCTTGCGCTTCATGTGCACACCCTCCAATTGCAGTTGCATCATGTCACGTGGCAGTATTACCGCATCATTTTTATGTACGCAAGGTCCTAATTGGACTTGATGGAGAAAGCTTTCTGTACATTTTTAATGGGAATAATAATAACTTCGAATAATAAGATCACATAATATAAAACCAGATTGCATAACTCTGCATTGAACGTGTCTTCTGATGTCATTTCAGTGCCAAATAAGAATTAATTTCCTAAAGGCATCTCATACGCTGAGAGACATTAGTCATTCTTTGTGTATCAAGGACGTTTTTTATTCTAGATTCATGTATGTTCACAAGGGTGAAAGAAATCAAGGAAGAAAAGCGGGTATCTTAGGCAGGTTTAAAGTGAAGCCATGAAAATTGGGAAGTGTGATTAACTGGCTAAAGTGATCTGCAGCCTTGTTGCAAACTTGAGATTCTTTCTTCACTGAAATACTTCTTTCTTTGTCTCACAACGATTTGCGAATTCCTGCTTTTATGATGAATATTGGTGGTTAATTCAGATAACTCCAGCATTGCACATCTACAGGCTGAAGGGGAGTTTTGAGCAAAGAATGTTTTAATCTTTGCCAAATTTGGCAAAATAGGAGTAGAAAGCTGCTCTAGCCAATTTGTCATCATGGTTGTGGTCCACCTCCATAAAGATGTAGAGTGCCTAATTCATCTCCCGTGGATTTCAGTGGGGCTTGCAGGCTCAGTAGCTTCAGAAGAGAAGACTTCAGCCCTGTCCCTTCCAGCAGAGGAGGTGTCTCCTCACCTTCCAGCTGTCCCTGTCACTGTGGGAAGGATCTGAAGCCCCCGAGGTGCACGCAGCACCATCTGACGGTGGCCCTCTGTTTTGTGCTCCCGCAGCAACCCGGACCTGAGGAGGACGGAGCCCATCGTGGAGAGCCCGCTGCAGAGGACCAGCAGCGGCAGCTCCTCCAGCTCCAGCACTCCCAGCTCCCAGCCCAGCTCCCAGGGCGGCTCCCAGCCCGGCTCCCAGGCTGGCTCCAGCGAGCGCAACAGAGTCAGAGGTGAGGTTCTTGAAAACGTCCCTTGGCACCGGGCGTGCTTTCTGAGGCTTGTTTGATAAGCAGGAAGGGCAAGAGGTCTGTGAGCTCATGTATTTTTTTTTTTTTTAATTAAAAAATCAAAGGATTGATGATTTCTGATGTCCTTCTGTGACCAGCTGGCATCCTTGCAAACAGAGATGCCAGCACTCCCTTTTGCCTGGATGCTGATGTAGGATGCCCACGGCAGCGTGCGCTGCTCCCGCACTCGGCTGAAGCACTGCAGTGCCAAGTAACTTATACAAAAGGAGATGGGGGTTATGCTATAGGGTAAAAAAAAAAAAAAAAGAATACCAGCATGCTTCCGATCTTCATTGACCCAAGCTCACTTCTTCTGTGATGGTTTCTTTGGGATTGTGTTTCACTTTGGGTGGGTATCTCTTTTTTCCCTTTTTTTTTTTTTTGAGCTTCATCTTTGTGCAAAGCCTGACATGAGAGCAGAGGAGTGAATTAGCCCGTAAGAAGCTGTCTCTAAAATGCTTTCACCAGGCAGCCGTGCTTACACTAGGTTTATGTTCCTCTCATCTTAGAGCCACTCTTAAAGATATTCCATTCCCCCGTTGAATCACAGTAGCAGTTGCTACAGGAGTAGTACAGCCCATACATCTGCATTTCTGGCACAGCCCCGCAGTATAAATCCCCGGGGCTGAAGTGCATTAAAACAAATGCTGCCTCCATGCTTTGAATTTTTTATGACTTGGCTGTAAGGTGACGTGTCTGTTGTTGAAATCATCACTTCTCTGGGTAGTCAATAAAAGCAGTTTATCGCCAATTGTCCTTTTTGGTTTGGTTTTGTTTTTTACTAATGAGGAATCCTGTGACAAATAATGTCCTAGCAATGTCAGATGCTGCAGAGCTTTTAATTTATCACATGCCTTGCTCTTTTGCAGAGTGAATTTGGTTTTTTAGTAGAAAAAAGGGCAGTCACGCCACAGGAAGGCTATCAGTGGAGGCTGGGCTGGATTATGGTTTCTGTCGCTCTATGGAGGGACACTCTATAGAGTCAAGTAGAGAGGAGCAGGAGGATTTTTCGAGATAACAGAAGCAAAACGTAGTGAAACTTTATTAGTTGGACAAAAATTACCTATTTATAGGGCATCTAGTCCTGTGCCCTATGAGATGTCCTTGTCTGCTTTCACCACCATCTTCCTGCGCTTCGTGGGCAAATAGCCGGGGAAGGGGCTGCCATACGAGGAAGCCCCCCCCCCCACCCATCCCAGGCGATGGGATGCAGCGACGGCTTTCAGCAGCGTTTTAATTCCCACTCTCTCCGCTTGCCTTCCACCCAGGGAACGCCAAGCCCGAAGGGTCCCCTGTGCTCTCCCACGAGCCCGCCAAGGTAAAGCAGGAAGACAACAGGGATGTGACGCGACCGAGCCGACCCGCTGTGAGTCTTTAATTATTTCCCGTGGGAACGATGCCAGCCGGCTTGGCCACGTTTCCCTTCGGTGCAGTAGCACAACTGCGGGGACCCCAAAAAAGAGGCTAGTACTCCGCTCCTCCAACGGAGAGACTGGAAAGCGGTGGTACGGCGAGAGCCCGTGCGAGATTTGAATGCTTAAGAGAGTGCATGAGTTTTTATCAGGAGCCCAAGTCTAGGGGAAAGCACTTAAGCCTGTGTTTTCACGTGAAGCAGACGCTTAAGGGCTTTGCTAGCTTGGGCCCGGCAGTTGCCGATGGCACATTGTTGTGTTCCGTGCTGCATGTCCCCCCGCAGCAGCCCGGCGGAGGGATGCTTTGCTCGGGAAGGCTGGGCGACCGGCCCCCAACAGCCTTCACAGCTTAAAACCAAACCTGTAGTGGTTTCTGTACACTCCCGTTCTATTATTCTGAGCAAAATCTCATCCGAAGTGTTTCCTCCTGGTTTAATGCTGTTGACATTGTATTTTAAAACTGCAGAGTCGGCCTAATAACAAAATGAATTTCCACTGCTTCTCTTTTTTAATGTGTATTAATGTTTTGTTGATGATGTTTTTTTTCTCTACACTCCACAGCGTTGAGCTAACAATTCTAATTTTATTTCTAACCTGCTTGCCCTTCCTCTGGCTTTTTCCTGTCCCGATCTGTTTCCTCTGATGCTGATTATTCTTCCTTTACCCACAGAGCTATAAGAAAGCTATAGATGAGGTTAGTGATATCTTTTCTCAGTGGGTCATGCCTATGCAAGGTTGACTAGTTAGCGCTTAATATCGAACCGCGTTTTCTTGGTACGGACATTGAAAAAGGTGGCGATGCAATCTTGGGTCAGACGGGAGACCGAACGATTGCGTTTCGGCGCAGGGAGCCTGCCCGCGGGGAGGGGAGCGGCGCTGCCGGCGTGTTCTGCTCAGCCGTGGGCTGCCTGAAACCCGCTGGCCAGACCACTTGCGTGGAGGCCGCGGCAAGAAGCACCCCAGCTTTCACGCGCGGAGCAAAGGGTGCTGCCCTTGTTGGGCGTATTTGAAAGAGAAAGAGCGAGAGCGGAGGTTTCTTGTGCCGGTGGAGGTGGTCCAGGCAGCCTGCACCGCTCGCCACATTCTGCTCTCAGCTACAGCCCCCGGCCGCCCACTGATTTCAGTGGGGCCACCGAGCGCTGTTTGAAATGCATTTTCAGCCTAATTCGAACCAAGGCGCTCGGCAAACGAAGGAAAACAGAGCAGTGGAATACAGTGGGTAATTCATTCTCATGGACCGGATCACCAGCTGTAAGGTCGTCTTGGATGTTGATGGGCAATGCTAGTCTTCATCCATCCTCTTAAAAAAATGAGAGTCCTGAATTATACCTTTTTCACCATGTCATAATATTTTAAAAGCGGGTGCATCTGGCGATGGTGAGTGTTTCAGTGTTCATGGGAAGGGACCAAACATTCCTGATTTAGCATTTAACTTGCCTCACACATGCATTGCTGTGCACACATGGCTCATACTGGTAACTGCGGGGCTGTAATGGAAAGCACTGGTATCAGCAGCCTCTCCTGCAGCCTCTTTCCTCTAAAAATAGAAGATATGAAAGAAGGAAGATGTGCTGGTTAGTTAACTTGTTCTCTTGGATGAAACATGAGCAATGCGTTTTGTTTAATGAGGTGCTTTGTTAAGAAAAAAGCACATAAATCAGTGTCTAAATAGAGGCAGCGTGTGTGCTAAATTCAAGTTCAATGAGCTATGTGATTTTGGAAACCAATCTGACTTGATTCCAGCAAATACTAAATCTCAAGAAGTCTTTGTAATTAAAAGTAATTAAAGAGCACTGATACTGCTAACTTACATTATGTCACCCTCAGTAATAACATTTCAAGCACGTGTGGAACTACAGAGCACTTTCTTTCTAGTTGTCAGATTGTTTTTGGTCCAAGAGCAACTCAGTGAAACCGTTTAATCCTACAAAGTGCTCATTACTTAGGGAAAATGATAGCATCAAAGAATTAACTATCCCAAGGCAAAGCTTTAACTAGGAAATACGAGTTATCTGATGATATTGTCTGGGAGTATTATTGCTGTTATAACTTCCAAATTAGTTACTAAAAACTAATTAAGCTGGTTTTTAAAATACTTGACTATCTTCTAGTGATGACCAAAGAAGGCTGATAGGGTGCCTTGAAGCACGTTAGAAATGGAAGGTGCAAAAAAGAAGTCATTTTCACGGTCCATCGCTGTGATAGAGAAGGGTTTAGTGCTAGTCCTGCGCTGAGGAATTTCAGCTGCAATTTTAAGAGGCTCTTACGCAGTCCTAAAGTCGTTTTTAAAGTTGAGAAAGCTCTAATCCAACTCAAAGGCAAGTGCTCAATAAAGAGCATATTTTATACTCTAAATGGAAAGCATTGTTAAGCTGTTCAAATTTTCATTGGTTCTTATTTAGGAAAAGAAACAATCATATAGAAGCTGCTACAGCACTAATTAAAATAATTTCTTGTCATGACTGCAGATTTGACTGCATTTCAATCCCAAAAATGTTGGCGTGGAAAATAAACTCTTGTAATACCACATTCTCTCTTTAACCATGATAAAGAGCCTTTCTTTAAAGGTACAGAGAGCGGTTGGATTTGGAGAGGCATATATAATACCCATCACAGGTACCTGCTGGGAAGCAGGGATTGATCCTTTTGTTAAAAAACTAGCTTTTTTTTTTGTATACTAATATTTATGGGTCTAATGCAAAGCCCTCTGAAGTCCATGGGAGTCTCTGCTCTACGTCAGAGGGCAGGCAGGGCAGACCTGGGAGCAGAATGTGCGGCTGTCCACCGGTGGGAGCCGGCCGGGAGGTGTGGGTCACTAATCACCAAAGTACAGATTGCTTGCAAAATATTCCTGCTTCACGATTAAAAAAATAAACTGGGTTTGCATCTCAGCCATAGAAGTTTTCCATCGTTTTCTTCACGTGTCGCCGGGATAGATTTTAAGAGCTCCCTTTGCAATCGTAATTAATATTGCCATAGTCGCCCTGCTGGAACGGTAAACTGGAAATGCAGTAAATGAGAGTATGGCCGTAAGACGATTGTGGAATTTAGTCTTTTTCAATGAGTTTCTTTCTCCCTAATCCTTTATCTCTGACCGAATGCACTGATGCCTACCTCGGTCACTAATATAGGGAGAAATGGTAAGACTGACAATTGCGATGCTTTGTTCGTCATGTGCATGTCTTGTGCAACAGAGTTCTCTAACCCATTCTAATTCGAGCTCTCATGCTTTTCTGCCCTACTGCTTCCCCCTGCATTGCTATAAAAGCATGTAAGATAACAAAAAGTCTCTTTTCTACACGGTGCCTGCCATGTTCCTTGTTTTGAAATAGCAGTGTCTATTTTATATGACTGTCGGGTCTGAGGCCTCATCAAAGTCATGGTAAACTGAAAAATTATTACTAGGCTTTGGGACCGCTCCTATCTTTTTTCTTGTTTCAAGGCTTTTCCGCCCCACCCCCCCCCTTAGCTTGTAGGCTGCCACATTTCCCACAAAGTGCTTAATGGGTCCCGCTGAGGGATTTTTTTTTTTTTTTTTTTTGATTGTGTGGCTGACATAGAGCTGTGACTCCAAAGTCTGGCTGAGCTGGGCGCTTCTCCTCCTGCTCCTCACCGCCTCTCGGCAGCCGCCCGACGGCGGAGACTCACCACGGAAGCAGCTCTTGACGTGGGGATTGCACCACTCCATGGGAGATGCTGTCATTGCTTCCTTCCCAGATGCATTTATTACAGAATAAATACAATTACAGGGTCTCTTTGCGAAGTTTGAAAGAAGAGAGAACCCTGCAGGAGAAATTCTCCGAGCCAATCTTTGAAATGACGTTGTTTTCCAGTTTACTATGATGGTGACTGAACTTCACCTTTTCCAACAAATATAATTTTGTCGTGTATATACATATAAGTGTGTGTATATATATGCACATACACGTTCCAAACAGAAAAAGAAGAGGTTGGCTATTGATTTTTCAGTGAGCGTAAATCAGTTTTGTTTTGTTTAATAAATGCTACATGCTACAAACATTGTCTTACGTTCGTCTCATGTTTGTAACGACTCTGTAAAGCTATTTCTTGTTGCTCGTGCTGTTAGTATTGGCTTTTGAAGAGATGTATGTGACATTCTCCTAGCTTTAAATATAATAACCATCGCTTTCTTGTTATCTTACCCCCATCCCTTGTAGGATCTGACGGCCTTAGCCAAAGAGTTGAGGGAGCTGCGCATCGAAGAAACCAATCGTCCCCTGAAGAAGGTGACGGACTACTCCTCCTCCAGCGAGGAGTCAGAAAGCAGCGAGGAGGAGGAGGAGGATGGGGAAAACGAGACGCATGATGGGACCGTGCCTGTCAGTGACATCCCACGGCTTATGTAAGAAGCGCTTTCTTTTGGGGGGCAAACGGTGAAAGCGCGGCATATCTTGGTCTGGAGGAGCCGTAGCTGTGACATGGGACAAGTCCAGAGAGTGTCGGTGTTCGGTGGCTGGTACTGGGAACGGCGTTACGGTTGCAAGGGATAATTTACTCAGACGGGTCTTTTTCCCAGTCCAAACTAGAGATACTTAATGGGAAAAACTGAATTATTTCCGCTGCGCATTCAGTGAACTTGGATCCCAAGCTGATGGACCTGTTCCTGCTGTTAAGGCGGGTTTTTGGCCAGAGTGGACGCGCCTGACTTCATCCACACCTTGGGTCCTGCCCACAGGGTTGGCATGTTAAAGCTTTTCCCTACTCTTGAGCCTCGTCTTGCCCCAAATTAAGCCGTGCATAAGCGCAGTACTTGGTGGCCTGCCCAGTGCCAACTGTTAGAGCCAGGATTATAATAATCCTGAATCTTTGTCTTTGATTTTTGTCCTTGGCTCAGTCACTGTGCAGGCAGCAAAACGTGGTGGGCTAAAACGTTGAAATGAAAAAGTCAGCAGACTATACTATTGCGTCCCCATCGTAGGTCGTGGGACACTTGTGCTTTTGAATATCTCGAGATGAGGGAGGAGGGCAGCGTAGCTCCAACACACACAAAACAGCTGTCATCGTGCAGAGTGAGCTGGTGGAGCATCCCTACCCGGCGCTTTGCAGCACTGGGGGCTCTCCGCCTGGCAGTGGGGTCTAACTCCTGCCCCTTTGAATTTGCAGAGGAGTTGTGGGAAGGCTTTAGGGGATTATTTGCATTTTAATCAGTTCATTTCCATTCTTCCTGCTAAATGAATTATTAGTCGATATAGGCGTACCCGGCTTCATAGTGGTGGGGCGTGAAGCGGCAGAGAAGCCCTCCGGGTGGCAAGGAGACTCAGGGGGTCCATGTTATGCAAAGTGCTAAGCTCCTGGGTTGGAGCTTCCTTCCAGCAGAAGATGAAAAATCAGAGCTCTTGGAATTTGTCGGAGAAAGTCAGAAGACGGAGGGATGGCTATGAATATGCAGCAGTCAGATGGGCAGTCACGCATGCAAGAAGGGGCCTCAGGCTGCTCGCAGAAGAGGAGTTTAACCAGGAGTCGTTAATCTGTGCTGACATCCTTCCACCAAACACCTTGTGTTTGACGCGGCGCTTTTCAGTGGATAAAATATCTCACTGAATGCTTTGCAGCCAGATGACAGGCGTGGCGGTGAGATGGATGCCCCAAACCCACTGCCAGCCGAACGCAGCGTGCTCCGTAATGTCCTGTCCATGAACGTGCCCCTGAGACTGAACGTTGAGGTGCAAACCCTTGGAGTGACAGTGAGGTGGCAGGAGCTCTGTCCCTATCTAAGCCTTCGCGGGTATCTGCGGGCACGGCTGCGCTGCTGTGAGTCTGGGGAAAAAGAAGGCGAATGCTTGGCTTTACACCCTTATTTCACAAAAGGAACCTTAACTCAAGTTCAGACTAGATGTAGTTGGGCATTTTTCTATCAAAGCTTTATTTTTCCTATGTTCAGTGATTTTCCATTAGAAACTGGGGCCGAGAGATATCATCTCACCTTCTCCTGCACCTTCTGAGTGATCTTTGTATAACCCATTTTTAAACTTCCCTGGGCATCCTCTGTGAGCACTGGGCTGCTCTTCATTCCAGCTCTGTCCAGGTCTCTCCTGCTGTGGGATAAGCCCATCCATTGCTTTGTGTCCCAGTGGATAGGAGGGACCGTTTACTCCTACCATCTCTACAGATACCTCTTCTAGATCTGAAGGCTATGATGACTCCCTTCACCTCCTTCTCTGGGCTATACAAGCCAGCTCTTGCTCGTGTCCGGGGATTTCTTGCAGGGTGACACTGAAATCTGGGGCCTTGGGGCTACCACAGCCATTCATTCGCTTGCTGAATGGTCTCAAAATTAACGTAACCTCCTTTGCCTCTGGTTTCTTATTTCTAAAACTGGAATAATTGTGTTATTTTCCCATCCTTTGGCAGGGTCGGAGCGCTAATGGTAGGAAGGAGGTGCAAGCTCCTCATGTGAAAGGCACAGCAGAAGTATGGCACGCTGTTCTTTGGAGTGCTTTGGTGATGCCTGTCCAGTCGTATGTTTGATACGATGCAGGCGAGGACCCATCATCGAGCCAATCCCTTTTTGGGGTCCCCAGGGCTCACATCTCACAATGGACCAGTAACCCCCTTGATTAATGCAGGCTCGCTTTGGCTTTTCACATTACCAGGCTGCCTTGTGAGCCTCTGGGCCTTGACAAGGAGGTTCGCATGGGGATGACGTGTTAAAGAGTGAATTACTTCATATTGATGGAAAGGAACCAGTCTGTATGGCCTTTAAATGCAAAGTAACAGGTCTCATCAGCAACATCTTCATAACCGCCATTGACATTTTCCAGCACAAAGGCAGGGCTGGGTAATCCAGAGACGCTTCGTCATTTGCTTTTGGATTCGTTTGAATTATATTTAAGCAGCTCGTCTGCTAAGAACGTAATCATAAAGTAACAGTGGCTCCTCACCACCTGCGACATCTGCTCTCAGGCAGTCCTAAAATTTAATGTGTTTGAGAATAAACTCCAGCCTCTCTCTTGACATAGAAGCACAGAAATAAACTGAAGGTGAAATCATGGGTTAGGGCTACATTTTCACCTGGAAAACAGCAGAGACATAACTCGTACTCCTGCCCGCACCTCCCCCAAACCCCATCCCCTCCCTTCTTGTCTTTTCTTGTTGGCTGCTCCGATGCACTGTGCCCTTTTCAGGGGTTGAGATGGAGAATAAAGGGAGTGAATTATTTTTTTTAAAAAACTTTCTTAAGTAGAAAAAATGATGTAAGGTAGAGCAGGACTGCAACTCCTTGTTACCTGTTGGGCAGTGCTCCTCTCAAGGCACCTTGGGACGAGAAGGGCCCTTCTCTTTGGTCTCCGTGCTTTATCTGTAGTGTTTCAACCTGACCCTGCTGCTGTATTTCTGACAACATAAATAATTTCCCCATACACTTAAGTGGATATATTTTTTAATTTTTCTTCCTGTGAGATACAAAGCCTTAGCCTTATTGAAATAATACTGCATTAGAGGATTTCTCATCTAGTTCAGCAAAGAAAATATTAATCGTTAATGCTTTTCCGTTCTGTCCTCAGACCAACAGGAATTCCTGGAAGCAATGAGCCGTACAACCTGGGAATGGTGACAACCCACGGGCTAGAGACTTCCCATGCAGATACGTTTAGCAATATTTCAAGGGAAGGGACTTTAATGGTGAGGGAGGTAAGTTGTAAAACAAATATTTCCATGGAGCATCTTCAGGAGGTTTTGCCCATGTAAGCACAAAAACTAACAGTGCTGTGTGTCCGGAACACAAAATGACTGAGTAAATTGTGCTCATTAGCGCTCTCCTAATACAATTTACACTCGGAGCAAATGTGACAAGTGCTAATGTTTCTCAGAACTACAAACAGCAGTGAATAGTAATGCCAGAGCACGGCGGGGAGGATGCTCATACAAATGACTCTGCCGTAATCCCACAATAGCTCCAGGCAACAGAAGTTATCTTCAATTTACACCATTTAGTTAATGCGCTTGGAACCTGACCCAAAGTTTCCCCTTTTCTTTCCAACTTTTGCCACCGTGTGGCCACTGGCCCTGCCTGGGGAGGGCCAAGGCCCCCTCCCCACCAGCAAGCCGGCTGCAGAGGGCACTGGGCATCCCGGGGGGCACTGGGCATCCCGCCCGGATGCGAGCCCCCAGCTCCGGCATCACGGAGGAAGGGCTGCGGTGGGAGCAATCCTGATGGATGGTACTGCAGGAGTGAGGTAGAGGAAGGCTGTGGAAGATCTCCCCCAGTGTTTCTTGGTTTCCTGGTTGCTGGAACATGCCGGCGACGCTGCTGGAAAGGCAGGCGGGTAGCAGGTCTCCTGGTGAGGGGGCAGGAGGCTCTGGCAGTTCGTAAGAGAGGGGAGTCGCTCTCCTGCCGGCATGTAAGGGAGGTGGATGGGAGAGGAGAAGGAGGGAGGGGAGGTTGGAGCCAGCAATCATAAAGGAGGAGTGTTTAGGTCAAATGCAAACTAGGCTTGAGCAGCATTTTAATTCTTAACTCCGTTTATGTAAAATACTCACATATGAAGGGAAAAAAAATGAACGCAACTTCGAAAGAGAGGAAGGAGTTAGCAAAAGAAGTTGCAGTGTATTTGCTGCCTTCCTCCATGAGTTTTGGAGCTGGGCAGCAATGCGCAGCCCACCGAACCCCTCCCAGGCGCGGAGCTGTTCAGAGCAGGGCTCCCCACAGCCTGGGCAGCCCTCTGCGCATCCTTGCAGCAGGGAGGGTGATGCAGCTAAGCAGGAGAACAAGTCACTGCTGTAACAGGCAGCCGTTTCGGAAAGACCTTAAGCATCGCAACGGTAAAACACGTGCCACGCCAGCAAGGCCGTTGGAGAAAGCACTGATGCAGAAGGGTTTAAAAGCCACATGTGAGACAAGCAGCGGGGAAACCCCTTGGGGAGGTGGGAGCGTGATAAGGAACCCAAACTGCAGCCTCGTGTTTGCTCCCCACCACCGCCGGAGCCATCAGAGGACAGACTCACGGAGGTCAGCGGGCTTTGGGCAAAGGGCTTTTCGCTCTTTGGTGGGACAGCAAGGTGGTTGAAGGTGATGGTAACGAGTGAGCAAAAGATAAATGTTGTCAAAGTAAAAACTTGGTGAGCCTGTTCAGAGGGAGTTTTCCACTAATCCCAGTAAATGGGCAAGTCTCTGGAACGATCTCATTGATGTGCTCCAGGTAGGTGAGATTCATCAAAATGGCAAATATCTCAAAACGATGGGCAGGGAAGGGAGAAACTTTCCAGCAACTGTCTTGCACGAGGTGGGGATGGAGAGGAAGGGGAACCCCGGGGAAACCCCGGGAACCTTGTGCACAGAGCAAGATGCCAGTCGTTCTGCCGATGTTCTGCCGATGCTGCCGCTGTTCACTGCTGTTTTGGGTTACAGAAACATGCGACAGGGGCTGTGTTGGCATTTGCAGTCAGGCTACTTGCTGCCGTAGCTGTGCAAAGCCGTTAAGGCTAATGCTGATCGAGGGGTCAGATTCTGCCGTCACCGTGGCCGGTGGCCGCGTGGGAGGAGAGCTGCGCATGGGGTTTGCACCCATGGTGGCAAGAGCAGAATCTGCCCTACGTTCCTTGTCTCGAAACGACGGTGATCAGGCTTCTCTCGCTGTAACGTGGCTAATGACTCTGTATTGACTTTGTGATTAATCCTGTCTTTATTTCTCCTGGGGTGGGGGGGTTGGTTTGCTGCTTGCCAGATTGCATGGGGATGGAAACAGAGAGGGTCCTTCTCCTGCGCTTGCTCTGGGAACTGGGGGACTGCCAACGACCTGGTTTTGTTTGGTTTTTTCCTCTTCTTTTTCTCTTCCCCCCTCCCCCTTCTCTTTCTTCCTCATGCCTTGTGTCTCTGCAGACCTCTGGTGAAAAAAAGCGTTCTGGCCACGCAGCCAGCAATGGCTTTGCAGGTCACATCAATCTACCTGACCTGGTGCAGCAAAGCCACTCGCCAGCGGGCACGCCGACCGAGGCCCTGGGGCGAGTCTCCACGCATGCGCAGGACATGGACTCGGTGCCTGAAGTAGGTGGTGGGGGGGCTCCTCTTTCTCCTTTGCATCGCTTTAAACAAGTATTAACACTTCTGCTCCGTAAAGGGGCTTTCCTGCTTTCCTCCCTGGCTTTCTTGGCTCTTCTCTGTCTTTGTTTCTGGTTCGTGTGGGTGAGTGTAGTGGAAATACAAGGGAATCTGATGGGTTATTGCTATGGCTGATGGTAGAAATTTATATTAGGTCTTCTCTCAAGCCCACCAGCTGGAGTTTTGGTGGTGATGGCTTGAATGCTGCCAACTGATGCAAAAGTCCCCCCCCTTTTTTTTTTTGCACTTGGAAATGTGAGAAAATTATGAGAGCCAGGGATGCCATTAACTTCAACTGGGCCCAGCTTCCACCTGTGCGATCTCTGATACTTAACGTGACTCAAAAGGTTAGCAAAAACCAAAGTCAACAGAATTCTGGATAGTTCTTCAGACTAGCAAAATCTGCACACCTTTGAAGTTGTGTGTTTCCAGTCATGGCAAAGTATTTCTCCCTGGTACCTGTTTTACAGGGACAGGATTGAACATTAACATTGTATAAGGTGTAAAAAGTCCTAGAAAGTACAAGATGTGACACATAAGACAAGGGAATTGGTGTTCCTTGCTTACCATCACCAGCTGTGGGAACCAGGCAGAGTTCTCTGTTTTCCCGTGAAAAATCAACCCATTTGGTGCTAAATAAGCTATTTGATTTGATTTTTTTATTTACATTTTGTTGGTTATACATGAAAAGTTCTGTCATCATATTCTCTTTCATAAAAATGATGTACTCATTTTACAGTTTACTTTTACTAGCAGTATAAAAATCGCTTGGAATTGGGCATTGATAAAACACAAGAACAGATGGTACCTTGACCTCAAGGTTTTATCCATTTCCTTGTTGCCTTTAAAAGCGCTGATGAGAGAGTTGATCCTGAAAGTAACACCTTCCACGGTCATCCTGGGACAGCTTAAACGCATGCAAGGATTGGGTTTAAATATATTCATTTATAGAATACCAACCAAGAAGATCTTTTCCATTTCTAAAACTGCATTTTTAGGGCTGACTGAGCCAGGAGTGGGTGTAAGTGGAAACTTGGGGATGTAGTTCGCAGGCTTCCAGGTGACTCATGGTGCTGCGAGCAAAAAGAAGGGAGCAAGCACGACCTCACCCTGCAGCTTGATGCTGTCTCTGTGGGCCACCACGGAGGTTTATAGGCAGTTGAACAGGACCTGGAGGAAGATGAGGTCTTAATGTTTAAATAAGGGACTTGGAAGTTATTAAAATGCCAGCTTCTTAGGAGAACAGCTGAATCTGAGCAAAGAAAAATGCTCGGTGCATTGGAATGAGGGGTTTCTTCATAATGCATTTGTCGGAAAGCACCTGGCTCTCAGCTGGAAAGCATCTCTGGAAATACTGAATTTTTCCCGTCCTTGAATTGTTGGTGCTTTATGGAAAAGACATCCAGCACAGGAAAAAAATGTGTATTTCTTGGATATGAAAGAAGCACAAAGTAGCGAGTTTATCTTACATGCGCACACAAATATCATGGCGTACTGTGTATGTAAATGTGATATGTGTTCCTGCAGCCTTCCCTGCCTCAGGCTGTTAACTCCTTCCATGGGTCTCGGTTACTGTGTACTTTTTGGAAATCCATCCCATTTCTATGGAAACAGGGACACAGAGACGGGAGGGAAGCGGGATGCGCAGCATGGTTTTGGCAGGCGCAGGGCATGGATGCCGGCTTGCCCAAGGATGCCAGCCCCAAAACACTTGGAAAGCTTTTGCTCCTAAAAAAACTTGTCACCCGCCGGAGGACAGGTACGAGCCCAGCCCAGTTTCAGTTCGGCCGTGCCGGGGCGGTGGTGTTCCCCGTGGCATGTGTTCCCATGGCACGGGCTTGTCCCCGTGGCAGTTGTCCGTCCAAGGGCTGCGGCGATGGCGCTGGGCATAGGGAGCAACGTGGGCTCTGGTGACTCGGTGACGTGAAAGCTGAGGAAGATTTATTTCAGGGAAGGAAAATGTCCCGAGGAAGAAAAATGTGAGCAGTACTGTTGCTGCAGAAGGACTTGGGTTTTTCTGCTGTTACAGCTCTTAATGGAGGTCATACATAAAGCATATTCTGGGTAAATGCTGGAGGAGGAGGAATAAGCTGCTCAATGAGGGGGGAAGATCACGTCACTGATTCCCAAGGCAAGGATTTCCTTCTGCCTGCGAGAAGGTCTTAGCCCCGCTTTCTGCCTTAACAAAGCAATGGCTTTAAAAAGAAAGCAATGCGATGTTGCAGTTTGTTCCTCTCCAAATTCCCTTGGCAAAGTATTGGCTCTGACATTCCCTGCGATACCTTCAGGTTAAGTTTTGTGAGCTTAGAAATGGCCCTTTCTGCAGTCCCACCTGAAATGCTGTAGACAATCTAAAACACTTAATGGAAATTGCAGGTGACCTGTACGTGCTGTCCCCGTGAGGTGTGCTGAAGACCAGACTTTGGGGGGGCATGGAGCAATGTGGGGGATGCCATCTTCTGATGAGCCTGAGCATCCGAGGCGTTTTCAAACCCCCCCTGTTAAAAGCTCTCCCTAAAGCATCGCATAGCTCACCCCAAGCCTTCCCCATCTTCAGACCCTCCCAAAACCGGAGCAGCCAGGCGTACTGAGGGGCATTGCTGGGTCCTGCCTCAGCGATAGGTGTGAGGACCAGCAAGAACAGCCCAGCAGAACAAAAAATAGGCGTTTTGCTAGAGAGCTGACTTTTCCCACTTTCCCGGGGGCATCAATGTTTTGGGCTTAGCCCAGCAAACCCCTAGATATCGGGCAGCAAAAGCAGAGCGGTATTACGGCTGTACGAGCTCTCCTGCCTGTGCTTTTACAGGTCCTAAAATAGATTTCCATGACCTGTTGAAATAAAATCTTTGCTTTGGCACAAGGAAAGCAACAGTCCCACCTTTTCCAGCTCTGACTTACTGTGGTGGTCGCTGGTCCGTGTCAGCTGCCCCATACCAGGACTTTCCGGGGGCTCCCAGTACCATCCCACCAACCTTGGCTGCAAGGTGGGAGAGCGGGAAGAGCAAACTCTCGCCCGCCTGCCATCCCAGAGCGGGCTTTTAAGGCAGGTGCATTAGTGCATTACATGCAGACGAGTTGGTTTTTACCTGCATTGACTTTTGCCTCTGGCCCTGCGGCTTTCTCCGCTAACCCGTCTCATGGCTGTGCTGTGCTTCTGCCTGCGAGACGAGAGCAGAGCCGGGCCCTGCTCCTCTCCTTTTCTGTTGCTCATGGACACTCACAAATCCGATTCGCAAATCCAATTTAATGTTTTTCCTGATTAGTTTTGGGGGAGGAAGAACAAATGTTCATAGAGGGCTCAAAAAGAGCACCGCAGGGACAGGCACTGGGTCTGCTAATTAGGAAGTCTTACATGTACACACATACACAAAATTATTGTTATTAATTACTGTTATCTCTCTCTTTGCTGTTTATTTTCCAGTATGGTATGGGAAGTAGCACCAAAGCCTCTTTCACCCCCTTTGTGGACACCAGAGTGTATCAGACCTCGCCTACTGATGAAGATGAAGATGAAGACGAAGAGTCATCTGCTACTGGTAGGAGGCAATGGGGCCAGTTTGAGAGGGGAGGGCTGGAGGTCTGGGGACATCACCTGCTGACGGGTTTGGTGGTGGTTCCAACCCATGAGAAAATCCTGATGATCCCACTTCAAATAATAGCTCGTAACATAGTGATGACATCAGAAAATAAACGAAGTGTTGTCTTCCTATTCCAAAAAAAAAGCTGACAGAAGAGGTATATACAATTAATCCATCACACCTCGCTGTTTTATTGTGTTTCCTTGCAAGCCCTGTTCACCAGCGAGCTGCTCAGACAGGAGCAGGCCAAGCTGAACGAAGCCCGGAAGATCTCGGTGGTGAACGTCAACCCCACCAACATCCGTCCTCACAGCGACACTCCAGAGATCCGGAAATACAAGAAGCGCTTCAACTCGGAGATACTCTGTGCTGCTTTATGGGGTAAGCCCCTTACCATACCATGCCCTCAGCAAAGCTCTCCAGAGCGTGTGGCTGGCGATGAAACGTGAATGTGTCAGCGCAGAACCGAGCCCCTGGCTCTGGTTGTCCTTTTCTCCATCCCGGGCAAGGCTAATGTCCCCGAGTCCTGGCGCTGTAAGAGTGACTCCTCATCTTCATGGGAAGATCACAGCCTTAGCTGGGATCGGTCACTCTCTCGGGGGTTGTCCTTGGGAGAGATGAGCTCGGGGGGTTGTCCTTGGGAGCAGCCATGGCTCCCGGTGCCTATTGCCCTCTCCTCTTCAGGTGTGAATCTGCTGGTGGGCACAGAAAATGGCCTGATGCTGCTGGATCGAAGCGGACAAGGGAAGGTCTACAACCTGATCAACAGACGGCGATTTCAACAGATGGACGTACTCGAGGGTCTTAACGTCCTCGTGACAATATCAGGTATGCCTCTCGTGCTCTCACCCCATCGTTAACCTTCTTGGCCGTATTCTGGAGTGGTTCCAGCTCAGACAAAACCTGCCCACTGCTCTCAGAGGGAAGCTCCCAGGGGAGCTTGGAGATGGTTTATTCCCGAATCAAAGGCGTTAGATCTGCAAGAATGCCCCAGAGAGCAATTTGCTCCCATTGCCTGCCGGCTCTGCTTCATCTGCAACGCTCCATCCTCCTTCAGCAGGGAAGGGAAGGTGCCGGAAAAAGGCAGGATACAGGCAGATACCCCAGCAAGGCGGGTGGTCACAGCTTGAGGGGGCAGCGAGCTCTGCTTTTGGGTCTGTTTGGCTCTAGCCAAGGGAGCCATGAACCATAACTTCAGGGCTCCAGCTCAGACCATGGCTGCCCTGAGCATGGTGAGGGCCATGGGCTTGTCACCGTCCCCGGGTTCAGCCGGGAGCTCCGGAACTCTCAAATCAGGTTCATGGGATGATTTCTGGCAAAAAACCAAAAAACTCTATAGTCCAGTCTCCCAGGAGAGCGCCCAGCATCCTCCCAGCCCCATGAAGCACATGGGTGATGGAGCCGGGGCAGAGCCTTCTGCTGATACCTGCCCCGCAAAGCTTACAGAGGACAGCAAGAGAAATGCTCATTAGGAAAATTGCTTGGTATCGTCCTTCTACTTTCGTGTTGTTCAACAACCCCCTGGGCTCACTCTGCATTCACCGGCAAATTCCTGCTCCCTCCATTCAGATAGGGCTCAAAAAAATGCTGCTTCGTCTACCTTGCTCTGCAGCTCCCCTGTGGTTTTGGGGATACAGGTGTAGGAAGAAGGGGTGGAAGATGAGGTAGTGCTCCCCAGGGAGCACCAGCCCCTGAGACGGCGCTGAGGACAAGCCCTGGGGACTTGTGGAAACCCCCGAGCAGACAGAGCCCCTCATTTATGGTTTGGGTACTCTCCCACCAGCCTCAGTGCAAGCTGTGTCCTGGCCCTGCAGCGGGGCCTTTGCAGCAGCAGGGAGGTTTATAGAGGCGTGCAGAAATTTGGCAGCCCCTCAGCATTGCAGAGCCCAGCACCGGGCTTGTCGACAAATAGCGGTGCCTGTCGCAGACCGAGGAGCTCGTGTCTCAGCTGCAAGGTGGAATTGATGTACGAAGGAGAAGAGGGGGAAAGAAACCAGGTAGCTGAGTGGTAAGAGAGATGGGGTCACGGCCCCGCTCAGTCTCTCCGTGATTTATAGGAAGAGAAACGTTTGCAGCCTGCGGTGAGAGCCCAGCTCTTCCAGCATCCACCTGCAGTCTGGGAGACAGAGGTCTGGGCTCTGCTTTCCGTACCTTTTTTCCCAAGAAAAAAAAAACAACTGAATTACTATTTTCAACTTTGTTGTGAAACGAACTTTGATTTTATCATCTTGTGAGTGAAAATAAGCACTGAAATCTCAAGATTTCCCATGCGCACGTGCACTGCTCTGACAGGGGAGTTTCCTTTGCCAACAGGAAAGAAGAACAAGCTGCGCGTGTACTATCTCTCCTGGCTGAGAAACAGGATTTTACACAATGACCCTGAAGTGGAGAAAAAGCAGGGCTGGATCACCGTTGGGGACCTGGAGGGATGCATCCACTACAAAGTCGGTGAGTGGCCTCTCCAGAAAAAAACGTCTGGAGGGATGCACTTCTGTTTTCTAGTCTTAGATCTGACCTGACAAGTTTCTCTTAAAAGTATGGGTAGACCACAGCCACAAAGAAATTTGGTATTCATCTATATTATTAGGTGGACACTTTACCAAATGAGAACCAACAGAGAGAGCCTGAGAAGCTGTTCCTGGAGGCAAGTTTTTCAGTCTTGTTGGAAAGAAAGTGAATGTTTCTAAAATTGGTTTTATTTTTATTTTAGTGAAATATGAAAGAATCAAGTTCTTGGTGATTGCCTTAAAGAATGCTGTAGAGATCTACGCTTGGGCTCCTAAACCATATCACAAGTTTATGGCATTTAAGGTATGTTTATCTTTTAACCAAAATACACTCTGTAATTGCGAATACATGAGATTCCTGTACTATGCAGAGCAGAAAAGCATCTTGCTTACGTAGCTGAGCTCCTCGGGATGCCTGGCAGGCATGGGAGATGGGATACATTCTGGCTGAAGAGATGGGATACATTCTGCTCATGGCTAGCAATTAAGCGTTAATATTAGCTTATGTTGGCAGGCTTTACTTGGGAAGTTTGCAGAAAGCTGACCAAAGGTCCATAAGTAAAATTGAGGTGGTGTTTTTTTTTTGGGGGG